TGATCCTTTGCATATGTATGATTCTTAAGGAATGATATGTGGTCCTTCGGGACATATATGTATTCTTTGAAACATGTGTGAAGTCTGGTGAGACACATACTTGACTCTAGTATATGTATATGATCTTAAGGAATGATCGTGGTCCTTATGGACATTATTATATGGCACTCGGTGCAATTCTACGCAGCACTCCGGTGCAATTCTACGTGGCACTTCGGTGCAATTATACGAGCTGTGGTGACAGCATAGTGCACAACCTCTATAGACTCACATATCTATAGTTCTCACATGTACATGGGCTTTGAAAAGAGAACATAATTTGATATAATGATATGTGTATTTCTCGTGACATGGTAAGTGCATATATGTCATGGTGATATGAGATGCTATGTTTTATATATATGATTATAGAAATTAGTAATGTATTGTGGTTTATTAAATATATATATATGTTTATATTCATTATATGCTCATATGACGGAATTGAAGTAATGATAAGGGAATTAATAAGGATAAACAGGTTGGTGATATGAAAATGTATGTGATATATGTATATGATGTGTGATATGATGTGTGCATGATATGATATATGTGATAGGGTTATGGTATCTGTTACATAATATACATGAATATTGATGTATATGTAAATGAGTTGTATAATTTGATAGCATAAAACAGTCATGCATGATTAGTGGGTATGAATTCCATTAGATGTGTTTTTCTTTATGCCTCACTAAGTCATCGACTTAGCGTGATGTTTCACACGCAGGTTACAGAAAGTGAATATGGAAGCTGTGAGGAGCAATACAGGTCAGCATCTCCCTTACAAGATTTCAGATCAAAAATAGATGAGTTAAATGTTTTTTTGTTATTTTGAATATAGTTGTCATGTACTAATTGATGAGTTAAATATGCTCTGATCGATTTTGGTTATTGTGGTCAATTATGTAACTAAAACTGCTTTTACTCTAAGGAAAGTTTTAAATTTTCTTTGAATTTTGTCAAGAGTCAAAGTTTGAAAAGTCAATGTGACACCTCGGACTCGTATCCGGGTCGGGTACGGGTTGGGGGTGTTACATGTAGGGACATTAGAATTGTGTTAGATACGTGCTATTGCCTTGATCTAGAGAAGTGTCTATATGTTATAGGTTGGATATTTTAGGATTGAGCATGGTGCCGCTAGTAATTATGGGTTATTGCATAATGTTAAGGGCTACCTTTCTAGACACTTTGAGATGAAGGATATGGGAGAGACTTCTTATGTGGCAGGAATATATATATTTCAGGATAGATACAAGGAATTTTGGGATTGTCTCAAAAGACTTACATCAACAAAGTTCTAGAAAGATTTAAGATGGAATCATATACACCTAGTCTAATTCCCATCCAGAAAGGAGACAATTTTAGTTTGTCTCAATGTCCCAAGAACGACATAGAGCGCAAAGAAATGGATAATATCCTTTATGCTTCTTTAGTAAGGAGTTTGATGTATGCTCAGACATGTACTAGGCTGGATATATGCTTTGCGGTCGGTATGTTGGGTTGTTATCAATCAAATTCTGGATTGGTTCATTGAAGAGCTGCAAAGAAAATTTTAAGGTACTTGCAAGACACTAAGGGTCACATGCTCACATATAGAAGAACTAGTAACCTTGAGGTTGTTGGTTACTCAGATTCGAACTATGTCGGATGTTTAGATACCCGGAAGTCCACATTTGACTATGTGTTCCTTCTAGCTGATGGAGCTATCTCATGGAAAAGTTGTAAGCAGACTGTTATTGCTACTTCCACTATGGAGGCTGAATTTGTAGTATGTTTTGAAGCTATATTTCAATCGTTATTACTATGAAATTTTGTTGATGGTTTAGGCATATTGGTACCATTGCTAAATCAATGAGGATTTATTGTGATAATGCGCAGTTGTATTCTTCTCTAAGAACGATAGATACTCTAATTGTGTCAAACATATGGATTTAAAGTATCTATCTATCAAAGAAGATGTGCAAAATCAAAGAGTTCAAATATGCACATTGGCACCAATGATATGATTGTGGATCTGTTGACTAAAGTTGTTGAAAACATTTTGATATTTCGATATAACAAACTAAATTTAAATGAATTTTAAGATTTTACAAATGATTTTCTAAAGTATAATTACTCCAAGTCTTTCAATATCATTTCAAACCTTACTAAATGTGTAAAATTGTGTTTTATACTTAAACTATTTTTAAAACAATTTTCACAAAATATTTTGAACCAAAATCAAGCCTAAAATCAAATTTTCAAAGTGATGCACCGATGCACCAATCCATACATCGATGCACCATGGAATTAATTGAACATCGAATGCATTTTATGCATCGATGCACATACCACGCATCGATGCACAAGACCATGCATCGATGCACTCAGGCTATTTCAAAACATCGAATGCATTTTATGCATCGATGCACTCTTAGTGCACCGATGCACTGAGAGTCTAACAGTCAAAATATTTGAATTTTACACTTGATGCACCGATACACCTAGGGTATGCATCGATGCATGAGACGCTCCTAACCACTAATATTAATTGTTTTCACACTTAAACGACTCTATTGACTCCACTAATCATCCCCAACGTTCAGAATCAATTGAAAGTGTATTTAAACAAGCTTAGAAGTAATTGATCAAGAACAAGAAACAACAAGCAATTAGAATCAAGAGATAATAAAAAAGAAAGAATCAAACCTCAAGTTTGAGCATTTCAAGCCTATTTTTCATTCAATATTCATTTTGCTTATCTACCTTGTGAGGATTTTCTTGTAAGTTTGTAAATTTGTAATCTTCTCTTTGAGAAAGAGTGTTCTAAAGAATTGGGGTATATTCTTGAGGGTGTTGTAAGGTTATCTCTTTTGCCTCAAAATAAAGAAAAATTAGTGAATTTGTTGGAAAATCCTTAGTGTGGATAGCTAAGGTAGTGGACGTAGATTTTGGTTGAGAAAGTCGAACCACTCTAAATCGCTGTGCAAATTTTTTCAATTTTCTGCAAAAGCTTCCACCATATTTTTATTTGCCAATTCACCCCTTCTTGGCCAATTCTGACTATCGATTAACTCAACAAAAGTACTAGCTCCTAAGACATTTATTGGCCATGTTAGTGAAATGAGAGTAGTCGCGAAGTCCTTGTATAACGGATGATTAGTCATACATGTATAAATATATGTCTTGCACATTTATGTTTGTTTGATACTCTAGATATCGGTGTTTGTTTGGATTTTGCTTATCTATGAATCATATTTCAGTTATGCATATTTTGTTATGATTATAGATGTTGAATCTTATTTTAAAACATTGTCGGATAAGATATTTTTGGGTGTCGGTATTATTACATTGTGTCTGTTTAAATTGGATTGACCTGTAATACATGAAAGAAATTGGGATGTTTGTCAGGCCCGTGAACGCCATGATTCAGTCGATTTAATTATTACGAAGTTATGACTTGTTTATTACATTATTTAAGTGAGCTCAAATTATGTTAATATGTTATATACTTGTCATATATGAATCAAGTGGGTGAATGTTAGAAATTTTGATTTCTAATATTGATTCATATAATTTAAGTAATTGATAATTGTTGTTGTTGTACAAACAGTGATGATTAGTGTAGTATTGAGGAGACAATTACCGGGTGTAAATCCCTCCGTCCCATACCGTAAAAATATAAGTTTGAGTGGTGTTATGTGTAACTGAAAAGTATAGGGGCATTTCGGTTATTTTGATCTTTCAATTATTTTGTGATTTAAATAACATAGTGGAATCAATTTTTTAAAAACTCAGGTAGCTAACAGTTTCTTTTTTCAAGACTCTCTCTTTTTCTCTCTTAAAGAAACAAGAATACTTTATGTTTTGGGGTTCTGATTCTTTCATCAAGAATCAATCAAGTCTTGATATCATCACAAGGCGAATTGAGGATTATACAGTATTGGAATTAGATAACATTTATTATTTATTGTCTTTGGGATATTCAACTATCATAATGAAATCATCAAGTAAATTTTCATTTCTTTTACTGTAATTCTTAATAATTATGTCATGAGCTTATTTGATTGATTTAATTACACTATCAAGATCTTTATATCAATTGATTTTAACATCCTCCTCTTAGCAATGGCTTCCACCACATCTTGCTCGCAAGAACAAATTGTATAGGTTGTGCACTCTAGAAAGTTGGCTAAGGCTTAAATGAGCTTATACGGATTGCACCATACCTTAAATTATCATGGCATGGATCTCACTGACTGTGTAAAGCTTCATGATGAAAGCAAGTATAGGCTCTCGCTCTTACTTTCCTCTCTAGGGCCTAAGCTATACCGTCGATGATGCTTGAACTTGGTGGAGCGGCCCATTCGCTAACCACCGGACTTGTTTGGAGGGGTTGGGCGAGAAGGGTTTTTTGGCTCAAGGTCATGCACATACTCAAAACTTGGCAACTTTGCCTAGTGAGGCTCTGGTATTGTATGCAATGTATGGCAAGGATGCCGTCCTTGAGCAGGGTAAGTGTTGTAAAATAATGGATTTATACTTAATTTTTTCATTGTATTATGCAATGGAGTGGCAGCTTTGCACTTTCGACACTGTATTATGCCGAGTATATGAATACGGGGATTGGTGCTTGGACAGGAAATAGAGTGAAGTGGCCTGGTTTTCATGTGTTCAACAGTGCCGAGGAGCCTAGCCCCTTCAGGGTGCGTAGGGGAGCGTCATGGATTCCAGAGACTGGTGTGCCTTTCAGATCTCTAGTCTAATTTTTTTTTTTGGGGGGGGGGGGTCGTACTAAAATAGCCCAATCAAAAGCCCAAGGAAAGTAATTTCTTTGAGTGCACTTTTGTTTAGAACCCAGCCTGATATCAGTCTCTAATAAGTGCTAAAAACATAGGGCATTGTCTTTCTTCCTTAAGCAGACAACTAGGTTTTTCAGCCAAGATTGTAGTTTTCGGCATAATTTTCAACTGCCAACCTCTTTCATTGTCTATCATAATTTTTAACTTAATCTCGACCGCTGGCAAATACATAGATTGGAGAGAAATTTCATTGAGTGTTTTTTTTTCTTGGGGATTTGTTTGCGGAACTAGATTATTTGTTACTCAAGTTTAATTCTTTATTTTCAATAAAGAATTTCTTCCAATATTTTCAACTACAGACAACTCAGTAATAGTTTACTAGGTCTTTCCTTTGTTTATATATTTTGAATTGAGCTTAGCGGGTCAGTCATACATTAAAAAGAGACAAGTAGTAAATTTAAGGTCCGATGGCTGGTGGCTCGAATGAGGCGCAGACGCTTTCGTGTGCACGTTGCGGCAAGCCTGCTACTCTTCAGTACTTTACTATTTTCGCTATAATTTTTTGTTATTTTCTGGTTTACTTGATAGCAGTCACATCTCTCAGGATATAATTTTCTTGGTGCAAATAACATATGGTATTTTTCAAAATTGTGGCTTTTAGACATTTTGAACTAGGTTCTATTTGGTTAATAATGTGAACTTTAGTATTGAGCTGAATCCATTGTTAGGTTAATAGCAGGGTTTCAAATCGCTGTAGCGTTTTCTGTCATTTCTGCCATAGCGGGCGCTATTTGAAACTCTGGTTAATAGTGTGAACTTTAGAATTGAGCTGAATCCATTGTTAGGTTAATAGTGTGAACTTTATAACTGAATTGAATCCTTTGTGTCTGATATAACTTCTTATCTGCAGGTGTCCCAAGTGTATGCAGTTAAAGCTCCCTCGTGAAGGTGCTGCTTTTTGGTATGTAATCATTTTCTTGTAGAATGTAAAGATGCCAAGAATCAACTTATTCTATCCTTAACCAAAACTTGGTTGGTGATTTGTTTTTGGCTTAATTAGTTTATACCAATTGAGTTTTCTTTGTTCTTACCAACATTTCGATAAATTCTTATTAAGCATTTTTCGCTTTCTATTAATGATGCCCTTTTTATTGACAGCACTCAGGATTGTTTCAAAGCTTCTTGGAGCTCGCACAAGTCGGTTCATTTGAAGGCAAGGTTGCCCTCCCTTGATACAGATGGTTCTGGTCAACAAAATTCTGATTTAGCTGGTGATGGATGGTTATATTGCTTGAGGAAAGGACAGAGTCGGACTCCGAAACTTCCTCCTTTTAATTGGACAGGGTACTTATACAGTATTGTAGTCCCTTTTTTATGCTACTGCTTTGAATCAGTTTCTTACTTTCTTCTCCATTGTCAAGGTTTTTCCATAAAGTTTTTATCTGGATAGTTATTTCCCCTGTTTTTCTGATTCTTCTTATTATCTTTCTTGTTCAGGACTCTTAGACCATATCCCATATCAGTCAAGCGAATTGTACCTGCTCACATTGATAAGCTTGACTGGGCTGATGATGTGAGTATTTTGGAATTAGTTGTGTTTATATTGGATACTTATTCACAATTGAGTGGAGAACTTGTTGATGAGAGAGTGACAAATGAACAATTAACGTTATTTTTTCTCTTCTTTCATGTTGCTTTTGCATCTCTAAGATATTTCTGCCTTCCTTTCAAATGCAGGGAATTCCAAAGGTTGAGCCAAACAGTGATTTGCAACATCGTGTTGAGGTAAGTTTATACTAGTGAAGTCTCTTAAGTCTTATAGAACTAACATATACCTTTATATGCGCCTTGTAATTCTCTTTATTATTTATTTCCCTTTTAACTTTGGGCGTGTCTGTATAAAGATCAAGACTCCAGATCAAATTAAGAGAATGTGGGAAACTTGTCGAGTAAGTTATGTCTTCCTTTTCTTCTCTACTATGTTTCACATGGGAGTTTATCATGCTATGTTGTTTACTACTTGTATCCTGTCTTTCCTATAAAGGATGCATTAGTGTGCCTCATTTGAAAATTAAGATCTTTCCCTACCACCAAAGAAAATCATCTTCAATTGAGATTCAACATAGTTTGGTTTGCTGAACATATTATAAAATGCAAGGATTGACAATGGCTTGATAAGCACACTTCTACCCTATACATTAAACTCCTTTTAACAAATGATAGATTAGATTGGCCAAATTTTGAGGTGTAAATTAGAGTAATAACAAATATATTTAGAATGATTCTGGAATTGTGCTTCTGTTCAATGTAGAAGTTCCTTTTAGTAAGCCAGATCCCATTATGGTCAAGGTGTGTTCCTGTAGATTAGGCGATTGGTACCATAACTGCTATATAGGGGAAGGCTGACCCATTCTCTCCCTTTTTCGTTGAGCAAATCTTAAGAATAATTGCTAGAAAGGGAGGAAGGAACTAGGTTGAAATCCTTTCCAATTTCAAGTACATCTATTTCTCCTTGGAAATATTTCCTATATATCCAATTCGCTTTTGAATCAATGTTTAACATTTCTTGAGTTGTTTCAAATCCTCTTGATGTTTGAATTTCTTCTGCTAGATTGCAAGGGAGGTTTTGGATGCAGCTGCTCGAATGATACGTCCTGGTGTTACAACAGATGAAATTGATCGAGTTGTTCATGAGGCAACTATCGCTGCAGGTGCATGTTTTGAATAAGCTTGTTATTTTGCAGCATATATTTATAGTAGTGCATCTTGTTTCACTTTATATGCATCTCTCATGCAGGAGCGTATCCATCACCTCTCAATTATTATTTCTTCCCAAAGTCTTGTTGCACGTAAGTACTCCTGTACATATTCTTTGAATTTAATGGGGATTATTGTGTTGGTTGATTAAATATTTCATTCTCCTTTCCAGGTCAGTTAATGAAGTTATATGCCATGGGATTCCTGATGCAAGGTTTTAGTTCTGTTCTAATTCTAGGAACTTTTAAGTGTTAACATTTGTTGGTAGTATTTTTCATTTACTAAGATGCACCTGAACTGAGATTTATAGCCAACTATGTGCTAATTGCCAGGAAACTGGAAGACGGCGATATAATAAATGTTGATGTGACTGTGTACTATAAAGGTGTTCATGGTAGGGATCTGCTCATTTTTATATTGATTTAAATTCTGCTGAATATAATGAAGCTCCATACTTGACAGAGGATTGACTCATCATGCAGGTGATTTAAACGAAACATATTTTGTGGGAAACATAGATGAAGCATCTCGTAAGCTGGTTCAGTGTACATATGAGTGCTTAGATAAAGCAATATCTATTGGTATGTGATTCAGAAAGTCATTTTGTCATTGAGTTTACATATTTTAATCTTTGCAATGGCATAGAGATTGTCTTAAAGATGGAATGATCACACTGAAACAGGCAAAGCTGCTTTCTTTACATCTACTTGAGTTTGATATAGGTAAATAAAAGCTAGAATTTAAACTTGATTTTTGCCTAATATTTCTTCCTCTTGTTTTTTGGCACTCAAATTCAGTTAAGCCTGGAGTTAGATTTCGTGATGTGGGAGAAATTATTAATCGCCATGCTTCAATGTCAGGGTTATCAGTGGTAATGTCTAATTTGGTCTATGCGGCATATATCCCAGTTCATGTACCATCCCAATTGCAGTTTTTGTTTATTTCTTGCTCTGTTATCTTTTGTTACTATAGGTGAAGTCATATTGTGGCCATGGAATCGGAGAGCTGTTCCACTGCGCCCCAAATATTCCCCATTACGGAAGTATCCACTGTGCCCCAAATCTTCTGTCATCTTTTGTTACATTTTATTTTATGTTTCGACTATTCTAAATGCTTAATGGGAATTTCTCACTGACGTATAATGATTCAACTGCTTATGTAAACTGAAGGTCTATGAAATTGATTCAACTAGACTGATAGCATGTTGTTTCTGTTGCTTCCCTTAACCCAAACAGGAAATAAAGCTGTTGGGGTGATGAAAGCTGGACAGACTTTTACAATTGAACCGATGATTAATGCAGGTAACTCTTGAAGTTGGGTACTTATCGAGCATTTATAATCATTTCGTTTTACTCACTATGTCTCTATGGATTTTCCTAGGGGTTTGGCGTGATCAAATGTGGCCTGATGGATGGACTGCTGTTACAGCAGATGGCAAACGCAGTGCTCAGTTTGAACACACCCTTTTGGTAAATTTCATTTCCATTTTCATCTTCCTATTTTGTGGTATTCATGATAGATTGCCATGTGTTTTGAACTATTATTTTTTGAATAAACGTTTGGATTATGATCTTGCTCCTGTGTTAGCTACTTACCGGACAGCCTTCTTCCTTTTCGGTTGTCTTGCAATGATCTGAGGTCATATGTGAACTGTGATTATATGGTGCTTGCTTGTGATTATAGTTGGCATTGTATGATAAGAGAATCATGTCATGAAATCTACACCTGATTGTTTCCTTGCTTCTCAGTCTCTAATGATTCGTGACTTCTATCGGTGCATTCTTCTTCAATGCTTATTAGTTATTATCATGCAGGTAACAGAAAGTGGGGTCGAAGTTCTTACAGCTCGACTACCGTCTTCACCCGATGTGTTCCCTTGGTTAAACAAGTGATCAGTTTTGTAGGGGCATAAAATAATGGGCCAAAGTAAAGTTACCCGTAACATTGTACTGATGGGCAATAGATTATGAAAGTATCCATCTTGGGGGGTCACCTTACCCCTAATCATGCAATTTTCCATTGAAGCTCTGGTATTTTAGTATGTGATGTGTACAATGAATTTTCTTCCGTTAGTTTCGTTTGTAACAAGAATAATTGTTTGATGAAAGAAGTGACGTCAAATGATAACTATTTGTATTCCGTGATATATCGTGCATTATACTTTAATCAAGTCGGTTCATATTTATATAATATATTATAAAGCTTAGCAGGAAGTTTTGAACAAAAAGTATTGAATTCCAAGCAAAAGTTGGATGATCATCTTCTTTGACCAACTCCGTCGAACAACCATGTTGAATTCTACTGGCCAACTCCCACCTTTGCTTCTTGATAAAGCCATCCTTTATTTAGCATAGCAATGTTGGTCCAATTAAAAATTTCGACTTTATCACATAATATTCCTGAGGCGGCTAAGGCTGAAAAAAAGTTATTATTTTAACAGGATTTTAAAAAAAATTATTTGACGCATTTTTTGAAAAAAAATAATGTTTTTAAATATAAAATACGATAACCTGCATACAAATTGACGTCCCTTGGTGTAGACGAGAAGATCAAAGTGGGTTGGTAGCTGCACTCTTGCTTGAGTCTTGAATTTTCTTCCTCGGATATATCAACCAAACTCTCTTTGGCTCTTTCCTTTTTCAGACAGATTCAGGTCCTTTACCTTTCACCAACCTCACTCGACTCAATCAGAAAACAATGGCCTCCACTTCGTCTCTCACTCTGTCTCAAGCCCTGTTGGCTCGCGCCATCTCTTCCAATGGCTTCACCAAGTCTTCTGATCACCGTGTTTCTATTTCCTCCCCCTCCTTCTCCGGCTTCAAGCTTTTTACCTTGCGCTCATCCACTTCCCGTCCAGCCCTTCCCACGCGCTCAAACCAGAGCCTTCGAGTTCGTGCTGCTGCAGTCGAGACAGTTGATGCCGCCGCCGAAACTTCCTTGGTGGAAAAATCAATCAATCAACACGATCAGATTCTTGGCTATTGATTCTGTCGAGAAGGCTAACTCAGGCCACCCTGGGTTGCCCATGGGCTGTGCTCCGATGGGTCACATTCTGTACGATGAAGTCATGAGGTATAACCCAAAGAACCCTTACTGGTTCAACCGTGATCGTTTCGTCTTGTCTGCTGGTCACGGTTGTATGTTGCAGTATGCTCTGCTTCATCTAGCTGGTTACGACAGCGTCCAGGTAAAGCTTCTAACTTCCTTACCTTCATTTCTATTCAAGTGTTTTTTACTTTAGATCTAGTGATCCTTTTTTTAAAAAAAAAAATTGATTGGTGAAAATTGGATCTGGGTAATTTTCTTTAGATTCCTTTTCAATGTTTTCTTAATGATATGTTCAACTGTTAGGTATTAGATTTTGAGGTCGACTCACGGGAAAAATCGATTCATGCACTAAAGAACTAAAATTTATGATTATTGGGTTATTTATAGGAAGACGATTTGAAGAATTTCCGTCAATGGCAAAGCAGAACACCAGGACATCCGGAGAATTTTGAAACACCTGGAGTTGAAGTTACAACTGGTATGTTACTCCTTTGCAAAAGTGATTGCATTTGTTTTTTTTATCAAGAACTTGTCAATGTCATACTAAAAGTTAAGCAAATGTATGTACTTATATGTGGTCCTTTTTTCCTTTACGTGCAGGTCCTCTTGGTCAAGGTATTGCAAATGCTGTTGGATTGGCTCTTGCCGAGAAGCACATGGCTGCTAGATTCAACAAACCAGACAATGAGATCATTGACCATTTCACGTATGATAACTTGAGAGTTCTCTGTTTTCCGATTGCTTGCACATACTATCTTGTATTGATATATTGGCCTTTGTTTTTGCAGATATTGTATTTTAGGAGATGGTTGTCAAATGGAGGGTGTTGCAAATGAAGCTTGTTCACTTGCTGGGCACTGGGGACTTGGGAAGCTTATAGCCTTCTATGATGACAACCACATTTCGATTGATGGTGACACTGAAATCGCCTTTTACTGAGAATGTTGATGAGCGTTTTAAGGGGCTTGGGTGGCATGTTATTTGGGTCAAGAATGGAAACACTGGCTATGATGAGATTCGTGCTGCCATTAAGGAAGCAAAGGCTGTCAAAGACAAACCCACTTTGATCAAGGTCGGATATGTTAATGATGCTTGCAGTTATCTATCTTGTTTGGACGCAACACACTTGTATTTGTACATTGATGTGGATCTCATATGGTTGAAATTTGAGATCCATAGTTAGTTAAACTAATTTCTCTTCTATAGCCTTTGATAAAAGGATGATGCATCAATTTAGAAGCATGAAGAATGCATTAATTGAAAACTCGATAAAACTTGCATCTCTGCACATTGATGCTTGACTTTGTTTTTCATTTTGAAGTCAAGGCTAGGTTCATAAAAACTGTCTTCCACTTATTCATTGCAGGTGACAACCACCATTGGTTATGGGTCTCCAAACAAGGCAAACTCATATAGTGTGCATGGTAGTGCACTGGGTGCCAAGGAAGTGGATGCTACTCGGGAAAACCTTGCATGGCCACATGAGCCTTTCCATGTACCTGAAGATGTTAAAGGGTAAGGAGATAATAGAGATTTCTACATATCCATTTAATTATTTTCTCTAGTTTGGTGTTAAATACTTTCTTGGTATTTCTAGGCACTGGAGTCGCCATATCCAACAGGGTGCTTCTCTTGAAGCTGAATGGAATGCCAAGTTTGCTGAATACGAGAAGAAGTATAAAGAGGAAGCTGCAGAGCTCAAGTCAATCATCACTGGTGAACTGCCAACTGGCTGGGAGATGGCACTTCCAGTGAGTAGCCCTCTTATTGTCCCAACTAATTAGAGACAGACACCTGTATTCTTAGACATTTTTGTTCATCAGAATTAAATTGGCATGTAAAAATGAGCCTTTTTCTGTTTGTGATCTCCAGACATACACGCCGGAGAACCCTGCCGATGCTACCAGAAATCTCTCTCAACAAAATCTCAATGCCCTTGTTAAAGTACTTCCAGGATTTCTTGGTGGAAGTGCAGACCTTGCATCTTCCAACATGACCTTGCTCAAAATGTACGGTAATTTCCAGAAGGGCACTCCCGAGGAACGCAATCTTAGGTTTGGTGTTAGGGAACATGGAATGGGAGCAATCTGCAATGGCATTGCACATCACAGCCCTGGCCTGATTCCATACTGTGCTACTTTCTTTGTCTTCACTGACTACATGAGAGCTGCCATTAGGATTTCTGCATTGAGTCAAGCTGGAGTTATCTATGTAATGACCCATGACTCCATTGGTCTTGGGGAAGATGGGCCAACCCACCAGCCAATTGAGCACTTGGCTAGCTTCCGCGCAATGCCTAACGTTTTGATGCTTCGTCCGGCTGATGGAAATGAAACTGCTGGTGCATACAGGGCTGCTATCCTCAACAGGAATACACCATCCATTCTTGCACTCTCTCGGCAAAAGCTGCCCCAACTAGCTGGAACTTCTATCGAGGGGGTTGAAAAGGGTGGATACATTATTTCAGACAAACTCTTCAGGAAACAACCCCGATGTAATCCTGATTGGAACTGGTTCTGAGTTGGAGATTGCTGCTAAAGCTGCTGATGAACTAAGGAAGGCAGGAAAGGCCATTCGAGTTGTCTCCCTTGTTTCTTGGGAGCTCTTTGATAAACAATCAGATGCTTATAAAGAAAGTGTTTTGCCATCTGCTGTATCAGCTAGGGTGAGCATCGAGGCTGGAACAACATTTGGGTGGGAAAAGATAGTTGGATCCAAAGGGAAGGCGATTGGAATCGATCAGTTCGGGGCAAGTGCACCAGCTGGGACACTATACAAAGAATTTGGTTTAACTCCAGAGGCTGTTGTCGCAGCAGCGATTAACTATGCTAGGCGTGGTTAGAAATCACCATACAAACTTATGGTTTTGAGTTTGAGAGTACACTAAAGAGGCAATACCCATTGCTACGGTCTCTTTTTGTCTTAATAAGAAACAGAATCAAATCTTCTTCTGTTGTTTGTGATTCATCGATAGAAACACATTTCTTTATGTTTATGAGTTTGTAATTCCTCTTGGAACTTTTACTTGGATTTTGCAATACTTGCTGCTGCTCTGAATAACGGTTGTCTTTTTTTTTCCTTTTTCTTTTGTGAATGTGTATCTTTTTTTCCCTTAAACAAACTAACACACTCACATTGTCCTCTTGGAACCCTCAATCATTTACTTCAGATAAAATAATGTGCATGCCTTGTCATGTTTTGATACAACACATCCGAAACCCAAGCAATTATGAAGGCTTTTGAAGTAAGAAACTCATACCTACCTACCTACCCTCCCACCCAAATCGCAATTCATAAGCCGAAACCTTACGAAACATGTGGATATGGTGTCTTAAGTGGTGTTAAACAATACCTTCTACTACTTTTTTGGGCTCACAATAAATGGCCTAAAGTAAAAAGAATTAGCCGATTGTCCGTCGATGGTTGCCTGTGTTGTGGACCCTGTTTAGGCAATTAGGATTTGGAGTTTGGTGAGGCCAGTTCACACCTGGCCCCCCCATCTTTTATTATTATTTTTTGTTCAACACCAACCCCGTTTTATTTCAGCCTCTGGAATGTGGTTGTTGGTGAGCCTTACACTTGAATCAATCCTACAACCACCACCTCAAAAAGTTTTTCCTTTTCCTAACCCCACAACTACTACATTCTCAATTTAGATAAACAAAGCTGCAAACTTCCCTGTAATCTCTCAGAAAAGTTAAGAGAGATGGCACAGGTTAGCAAAATCTACAATGGAACACAAAAGGAATGTGTTTTGCCTAATGTCTCAAAACCCCAGAAGCCAAAACATGTTTCTTCAGTTTCATTTAGATCAAATCTCAAAGGAGGTTTTTCAAGTTCTTGGGGTTTGGTCTTGAAGAACAATGGCAAGCTGGGAACAATCAAGGTTCGGTCTTTAAAGGTTTCTGCTTCAGCAGCAACAGCGGAGAAGCCATCCAGTGCATCAGAACTGGTTTTCAACCAATTCATGAAATTTCGGGCATGGTAAAGTTACCCGGGTCAAAATCACTGTCCAATCGGATTCTGCTTCTAGCTGCTCTATCCGAGGTATGTTGATTTTCATGATCAAATAAAAACTTGGTACTTTATATCCTTTAA